GTGGCACGTCTTTAATCCCAGCACTTGAGAGGCAGAGGCAGGCAGATCTCTGTGAGTTTGAGGTCTACAGAGTGAGTTCCAGGACAGGCTCCAAAACTACAGTGAAACCCTATCTCAAAAAAAAAAAAAAAGCCACACTTTGGTGAGGGAGTCCCAGCAACTGCATGGTGGCTCACACCATTTGCTACGAGATCTGGTGCCCTCTTCTGTCATTCAGGCATATATTTTTGCATAACACTGTGTACATAATAAAAAATATATCTTTAAAAAAAAGAGAGAAAAGGTCTCACTATGTAGACCTGTCAGGCCTCCTATTTACAGAGAGATCCACCTGCCTCTGCCTCCCAAGTATTGGAATTGAAGACAGACCACTATACCCAATTTAAGGAGTGATGGGAGATGTTATTCTGTAATTATGTTTCTCTTGTTGGTTAATGAATAAAGCACTGTTGGCCTATAGGGAAGCAAGATGGGTGGGACTAGGAAACAAGGAGGATTCTGGGAGATGTAGTAGAGAGGGTAAAAATGTAGGACACAAGAGGAGTAAGAGGTCTGGACTCTCTCCAGTAAGATAAGACTATATGGAAACATTTAGATCGATAGAAATGAGTTAATATTTAAGACAGAGTTAGCAACACTAGTAACAGGCCAACACTTTCATAATTAATAGATTGTGTTTTATTTTAGGACTGATGCTGCTCTGGGACCAGGCTGGTTGGAAAGTATTTGTAAAACGAGAAAGCCTTTCTTTTCTTTTCTTTTTTTTTTAATTTAGTTTTTATTTGGAGATAGGGTTTCTCTGGGTAACCCTGGCTGTCTTGGAATTCATTCTGTAGACCATTCTGGCCTTGAACTCAGAAATATGCCTACCTCTGCCTCCAAGTGCTGAGATTAAAGATGTATGCTGGAGGCTGGAGAGAAGGCGCAAAAGTTAGGAGCACTGGCTGCTCTTCTAGAGAACCTGAGTTCAATTCACAGCAATAACATAGTGGCTTACAACCAGCTATAATGAGATCTGGTGCCCTCTTCTGGTGTGTAGACGTGCATGCAGGCAAAACACTACATATAGTAAATAAGTCTTTAAAAAAAGAAGTCTGTGTGTGTGTGTGTGTGTGCACGTGTGTGCATGCATCACTTCAGCCCATCTAGGAAAAATCTTTGATTCATTGTAGATGTAGAAAAGGGGATAGCCAAGAGAGTTAATGTATGCAAAGTGCTTTGAACAGTATCTGTTACATGCCAAGTGGGATACAGAACTCTTATTATGAATCTCTTATCTATTCTAAACCCCCCAAACTATCTTATTTCTGCTATGAGTTAGAATAATCATTACAGAGTAGGATTTAGAGCCTTAGTGGGGAATGCCTTGGAGCACTGGAGCTCTTGGGTGAGCAACGGGGACTCTGGAAAGCACTAGAAATGGCCTGAAGGAATCAGTAAGGTTGGGGGGGGGTGTAGCTCAGTGGAAGAGGCTTACCTAACAGCATGTACCATCACCCTGAGGTTTGACCCCAGCACTCCCTAACAAACCCCAGGAAGCAACAAGTGCAAGGCTTACAGGTGGAGTGGAACCCACGAGCAGTGTGACAATGGAGCTCAGAAAATCCAGTAACAGAGAAAGGCACTTGCTGTCCACTGTGATGACTTGAACTGGATCCACAGAATTCACATGGAAAAAAAAGAGAACCGTGTCCTGCAAGTTCTCCTCTGACCTTCACACACATGCTATGGCATGGCACACACATTCATCCAAATAAATAAATGGAAATATGTTTTGGTTATATTTGAGATTGGGCTCCTCTATGTTGTCCAGCTGTTCTGGAACTCCCTAAGTAGACCAGTTTGGTCTAGGATTCAGAGGTTCTCCTGCCTCTGCCTCCCCCAGTGCTGGAATTAAAGACGTACATCACCATACCTGGTAGGTAAATGTTTTTAACTTTTAATAGGGAAAGGGAGGGTTAGTCCTTCCTTCCCATTGGTAAGGGATTTGGTGGATCACTTCCAGCTAGGAAGGCAACTCTGATGTGGGCTTCCTCTCTACATACAATTCACAGAGTGGCAGCACACTACAGTAGCAGCTTGGTACCTGCTTTGCTTCTTCTTGAATTCGGCAGGGTTGTAACTGACAATAGAAGACCCCAATCAAAGCACAGATAGAAATAGTCTTCATTAGAGTCATACATTATGCAGTTTAGGTTGGTCATCTTTCTTTCTTTCTTTTTCCCTTTTTCTTTCTTCCTTTCTTTCTTTTTTTTAGACAAGGTTTCTCTGTGTGGCTTTGGAGGCTGTCCTGGAACTTGCTCTGTAGACCAGGCTGGCCTCAAACTCACAGAGATCCACCTGCCTCTGTCCCCTGAGTGCTGGGATTAAAGGCCTGTGCCACCATTGCCCAGCAGTTGGTCCATCTTTCTGGCCCCACAGAAATTTGTCACAGTTCTGGATGCTGGAAAGTTCAAAATCAGGTCGATGGTAGGATTGGTGTGGTGAAGGCAGGGGGTCCAACTCTTCAAAGATGCTGCCTATCTGCTTTATCCTCTGCTGGGGAGGGATTGTTGTGATATTATATGGCAGAAAAGCAAACAAGGCCTGTTTGATGCCTCCAGACTTTTCACAAGGCACAAAACTATTGAAGAGGGTAAACTTTTATAACTTAATCATGCCCCAAAGGTTTCACTTCTTAACCTCCATCACAGGGGTTTTCAATACACAATTTTTCTGGGGATTCAATCATAGCACACCTCAATCCAAACTTGTCTTCAGGAAAAGCTTTCATTGAAACACTTCACCAGGGTAAACAAGCCTCCTCCAACTAGCTCATTCATCTTATTTCTCAGCCCTCTTCTGTGCAGTAATAGGCAGTGTGACATTGAAAGAACACACACTTACACCCATATCAATTCCCTAACGAACTCTGCCTCTGCAATTTCCTAGTTTGGAATCCTGAGGTAAAGTCACCTTACTTCTCATAGCATATTTCCACAAAAAGGGACTAGCAAAACACGGAATGGCCAGTAATAGAGAAATTCAAATCATAAGCCTGAGTTCAAATCATACAAGCTAGATATATGGCATGAGCCAGCAATCCCAGCACTCACAGGACTCCAGCAGGAAGATTAAGACTTTGAGGCCAGTATGGGTTACAAAGATTCTCCCCCCCCCACCAAGAAAAAGCAACTAGTACTTAAAAGCAAAGCCTGACATGGTGGTACAGTGGTACACACTTGTTATCTTAATACTCAAGAGGCTGAGGTAATAAGATTGAGAATTTGAGGCCATCTCTGGCTACATAATAAGATCCTATGTAAGTATACAAAAATCAGACAAGCATGGTGGCACAGGCCTTTAATCCCAGCATTCAGGAGGCAAATCTTTCTGAGTTCAAGGCCAGTCTGGTCTACAAAGCGAGTTCTACCAGGTAGAGAACAAGTTTCGAAAAACAAAACAGAACAAAAGCCATATAAGCCAAGAAGATAGCCCATCTTCTCCAAGATCTTTTATTTTTTTATTTTTATTTTTTGCTTCCTAATGGTCTATAAAAACGTATTAAAAGGCTTCAAATCCTCAGGACTGTTCTGTGGGAATCACAATGTCCATGTCCTCAACAGTGTATTTTCAATCCTGACTGGCCTTAAACTCATCACAATCCTGCCTCTCCAGTCTCCAGAGTTCTGGGACTTCAAGAGTGAGCCACCACACTGGATTTCCTACCAGTATTAAAACCAGAGTCATCTTTGTTGGCACACAACCTCCTATTTATCACTCTTTCATATGTCCCTAAGGTTTGATGTTTGTCTTTGAAAATGACTGCATCTTGACTAGAACTTCTAAAGAAGTGACCACATGACAATTGCGTTGTTTTGTTTTGGTTTTTTTCTGAGACAGATTCTCTGTGTAACAGTCCCAGCACTCTTCATTTTTATTTACTTATTTATTTATTTATCTATTTTTTTTGAAACAGGATTTCTCTGTATTGCTTTGAAAGCTGTCCTGGAACTTTCTCTGTAGACCAGGCTGGCCTCGAACTCACAGAGATCCACCTGCTTCTGCCTCCCGAGTGCTAGGATTAAAGGCCTGGGCTACCAATGTGCAGTCTTCATTTCTAAAGGTAGGGTTTCACTAAGATCAGGCTGGCCTGAACTCTTTCTATAGTTAATGCTCATTTTGAATGTACAATCCTTCTGCCTCAATCTCAAAGGTGCTAAAATTCTAGGCTTGTGCCATGTAATCCAGCTACTACTCCTTTTTTAAATTTAATTTCTTTTTCAGAATTTCTGACACCAGTACTGTGTTAGCATGATTTCCACTCCTTCTCATCCATCACGTCCCCTTCCCAAACCTCTCAAATTCATAACCTCTTCTTGATAAAACCTGCTGAACTCATTTAGTAGTGCTTAAATAAGAGCTTCGTGTTTGGTTTTCATCCCCCTACACCCTTCTTTTTTTTTTCTGAGGCAAGCTCTTGCTTATATGTAAGCCCAGTCTGGTCTGGATCTTGAGATTTTCCTGCCTCTGCGTCCTAAGCAACTGTGCACCACCACAAAACGCCTTAAGCTTTGCCCTTGAAAACCTTCAGTGTCTGTTTTAGGTGCAGGACTTCATCTCTTAACTGCCAAGCACTGGCCACTGCCAAGCACTGGCAGGTAGAGAAAGGGGCAATGGAATTATGGGCCACTACAATAAGGTAGCCTCCACTCACGACTTCAAGACAAACTCACGAGCATTTTATTAACTCTCTACTCTTTCACTCCGCCCTCAACACTCAGGGCAGTACACTTTGGAAGGGACAGGAAACACCAGCGGTCACGTGAGGACGTAGCCCATTACGGAGAGCCAAACTGCCTAACGTCAGTTAGCGCCAGCGTTCGAGAGCGCAGGCGCAGGCAGAGGCGCAAAACCTTCCTGGGCGGGGCTCTGGAAACCGCGCCTGAGCACCGGATCATCCCGGATTGGCCAGCTTGGAGGCGGACGGTTGGCTCTACCAGTCCTGGTTGTGCCCTGGCTTGTGTAAGGCGGGAACGAGCGAAATTCAAGAGTGGTTTTTCTCCGAGTCCGTTTTCCTTGGCCATGGAGGCTTCCCAGGGTTTAGCAGAAGTCGAGACTTTGAGCCCACAGCTAGCTGCAAGTTATCTGAGGTATGCTTGGGCCTCTGGACGGGTCAAGCTCGCAGTCCGTGGCCTGGGGTTGGGGTGGAATGACTCCCACGTTTACCTAGGAACCGCTTGTGGATTTGATCAGTTTTCTAACCTGGGGAGAGCTACCCCGTCCCCGCCCTGCGACCTTAGTTAAATAACTCTCCAGTATGAACTCTTTAAGAGTGCGAATTCCGCTAACTGATGGATCTGGGCGGAAAGGAGGAAAAGGGGTCTCTAAGTGGCTAGTAATAGAGTAGTGGAAATGGGTTTTAAAAAAGAAATTTTGCGTGGTGTTTGATAGATGATGTAAAGTGCTTCATTTCCTGACCAGGGTGTTGGTCGGTGATCTGAAGGGAAGGCTTCAGCCAGAAAGGGAAGAATTAAGTCAAGTGACCGAATAAGATTTCACCAGATGGCTGAGTCAGAGCTTGGCAATGTGGAGAGTGATATTTAACTATTAAAATTTATAGTACAGGGTTGAACAGATTGCTCAGAGATTAAGAGCACTAACTGCTCTTCCAGAGGACCAGCATTCAATTTCTAGCATCTATATAGTAGCTCACAACCGTTTTTTTTTTTTTTTTTTTTTTTTTTTTAACTCCAGTCCTACAGTCACTGTATCCATATGGAACACAAACATACGTGCAGGCAAAACACTCATTCCCCAAAAATGAAAACAACTAAAATTAATTTTAAAATGACACAAAACATAAGCAGAGGACTTGTAGACATTTTTCTTAAAAACATATTAATAGTGGCAAACAAGCACCTGTAAGAATGCTCAAAACCACTCATCAGTAGAGAGAAGAAAATCACAACTACAATGCGTGGCATCCCCTCCTGGGACTACAGTTACAAATGACTGTGCTAGGAATTGAACCTGGATCCTCTGGAAGAGCAGCCAGTGCTCTTAACCACCAAGTCATCTCTTCAGCATGTAGGAGTATGTTGTCAACTTGTAAATATTTCTCAGGCAGGTTTTTACTGTGTGTAGCCCAGGCTGCTCTTGAACTCTCATCCTTCTCTCTTGGCCTCCAGAGTAATGTTATTACAGGTGTGTAACACCAGGTCCCACTGAATTAAAGTTCAGTGTTGGCAGTGGACAGAGCCACCAGTATTTGAGGAGTTCTCCATCAAGTGTCCTCCTCTTAGGCAAAAATGTAGAAAGAGAATTTCAAGACAAACCAGTGTGAAGCTCAGTTAGTGATTCTATGCATATTTAGATCTGGGTTGATGTAAGAAAAGGACAATGCATGGGTGTGTCAGTCACAAGAGAGTTGGCTCTCAGGTGTGTTCAGGATGGCTATCTCCATATTAAAAGTCTGTAGCTTTCCAAGGTACATATCTCAAAGGATGTAATTTATAACAAGGTTTGATTAAATTAAGCTTAAAACTGCATTAAATTAAATAAAAACATATGAGCTGGTTTTACTTTTTTTTTTGTCAAAGAATGTTCTTTTGCAATTGAGATTCTGAGGTGGTTTTGTGAGGTTCATTGTTTAGATTTAGGGAGGAGACAGTGCTTGCTAATTCAGTGAAACTCAAGGCTACAGACTTCTGGCCTTAAATAAACACACTTTATTTGTTGTTTTTAACATTCTTGTTTGAAATGTCTCTAGAAAAACACATTCTCTGTAGGAGTTTTGGCTTTGTCAATGTGTTGGAGTTTCTTGATGCTCCATCAGCAGGAAAGGCAAACTAGATATCTGAATATTAACTCACCAGATTTGCAACTATTTCTCCCAATTATATAAGTGTCCTTTTATCTCTCTCGATTTTGTTTTGTCTTTCCCCCACACCAGGGTATCATTTGTATGTGTGCACATGCATGATGGTACATGAAGAAATCAGGTCAGAGATAGCCAGGTGGTGGTGCAGGTGCATGCCTATAGTCCTAGCACTGGGGAGGCAGGCAGAGGCAGATGGATCTCTGTGAGTTCGGAACTAGTCTACAGAGCTAGTTCCAGTACAGGCTCCAAAACAATACAGAGAAATCCTGTTTCAAAAAAGCAAAACAAAAACAACAACAATAACGGGATAGAGAGAGAGGGAGAGGGAGAGAGAGAGAGAGAGAGAGAGAGAGAGAGAGAGAGAGAGAGAGAGAGAGAGAGAGAAGTTAGGTCAGAGGATAACTTGCTGGAGTTGGTTTTCTCCTTCTACAGTATGGGGCCCTGGGATTGGACTCAGGTCACCAGGCTTGATAGTATATGCCTTTACACACAGGGCTACCTTGCTGGCCCCACTTTAACTTTTTTTTAATTACATTTACTTATATCAGGGAGTACACTTGAATGCCATGGAGTGAATGTGGATGCTTGAGAGCAATTTACAGGAGTGAATTCTCCTGCTAAGTTGGTTTCAGGGATTAAACTCAAGTCCTCATGTAGGGCTGCAAGCACCTTTACCTACTTGAGCCATCTCACCAGCCTGCCTTTTCTTTTTGTAGAACATTATATGGTGTAAGATGCCTTTTTATTTGATGCACAGAAGATTTTATTGTTTTTTTTTTTTTTTTTTTTTTTTGCCTTTATTTAGCTCATAATATAGCCTGGTTTCCTAAAGTAATACAAATAGTTTGTCAGGCTAGAGGGACCAGTCCTTGTAGGGGCCTTCTTTCTGCAGGTGTCAGCAAAGCTAGGAAAGAAAGGACTTTGTGCCAGACATGGTGATCGTGTATGCCTTTAATCCTGCACTTAGGAGGCAGAGGCTTCATTTAGTAATTGTAAATTCACAATAAAAATTTTCAGGTCGTATAAAATCTTGGAGCAAAAAAATTACAAATATTCAATTTTTATGTTTTTGAGACAGGGTCTCATTATGTAGGCCAGACTAGCCATGAATTTGTGAATGATCTTCCTGCCAATATTCCTGATTTCTGGGAAGTTATGAGATTACAGGTGTGTGTCAGCATATCCAGCAAGTATTCAAGTTATGTTTTGCTTTTAGGACAAAAGGGTTTTTAGCTTATACTTCCAGGGTTACAGTCTGTTTATTACTGTAGGAAAAGTCACATCATATTTACAGTCAAGAGCATAGAGAAATGAATGTATACATGTTTGTTTGTTTTTGTTTGTTTGTTTTGAGTATTTTAGGACCAAGGCACAAGAGGATGGATGAGCTTCTTTTCAGTTTTGTTTTGTTTTTTTTTTTTTCTTTTTTTGTTTTTTGGTTTGTTTTTGTTTTTCTCTGTGTAACAGCTCTGGCTGTCCTGGAACTTGCTTTGTAGACCAGGCTGGCTTCAAACTCAGAGATCCAGCTGCCTCTACCTTCCTAGTGCTGGGATCAAAGGTGTATGCCACCACCACTAGGCACAAGTTTTTAATAAATAAAATATTTCTTTTTCTTAATATGTAAATGTCCAGTAAATAGAATATACACAATATTTCAGGTATAGCAACATCAAATTTTCACTTATAAAAGAGGTATAGTTTGGTATATTAACGATAAATTTGATTTTTTTCTTTTCTTTTTTTTTCTTTTTTGGTTTTTCAAGACAGTGTGTAGCCTTAGCTGTCCTGGAACTCACTCCGTAGACCAGACTGGCCTCAAACTCACAGAGATCCTCCTGCCTCTGCCTTCCAAGTGCTGGGATTAAAGGCGTGTGCTATCACTGCTTGGCACATTTACAATTTATTATGTGTATGAATGTAAAACACCCAAATCCAGGTCCTCTGCAAGAGCGATTCTCAGTCATTAAGCAATCTCTCCATCCAGGTAAGTTTTTTTTTTCCTGTGAAAATATAATAGTGTCTGTGTGAGTATCATATGTGAGTTCAGGCACAGATGTACCATGGTGGCAAGGACAACTCTTGGATTTTTAGAGTGTCTCAGTGTAGCCTAGACTGCCCTGAAACTAGATATCCTCAAACCTCAGCCTCCTGAATACAGGGATTGTAGACATGTGCTACTATGCTATGCTTAAGTTTTACTTTTTCTGGTTAGAAATTGTTATTTTCTTTCACAAATATGGGTAGGCTAAGGCATATGTGTATAAAAATACATGTGCATGCTTTATTGTATTTATTGCTAGTGAAAGCAATTTTTTGAAGCAAACAGCAATCTACATCCTTTTTTTGGTTATGCTAAAGGTTGATCCTGGGGCTTTACATATGTTAAGCTAGTGTTTTCTCATTGAGTTACATCCTTAGCCCAATCTACATAACCTGTTCATAGGAAAATTGTGAAATACATAATAGTGCATCTACATCCATACATTGGAATACCATGAAACTGTTAAAAAAAAGTAGTGTATAGCAGGAAGGCATAGCACGTTCTTTTCAATTTCAGTGTTCATGCACATTATTTTACCAGAACTCTGCCCTTTCAGTTTCTTGATCTCCTTTTTTGAGGTTCTCTTATCCTTTTCCCTTATGCCATTTAACACCATAGTTGTACCATATGCTTTGCACTACCAGTTATCACAGCACCTCCTTGCATTGACCACCTTCAGAGACTATGGCTTGATCCCACTAAAGCTCAGGTGGAGATTTCATTGCCAAAGAAATGGTCTTGAGATATAGTGGGCTAGGTCTTGGGGGCTCTGTCTTCATAAAGGGATTAACTCTCAGACCAAGTTTGCTTCTGTGTTAGTCACTTTCTGTTTCTATAACAGAATACCTGGGGGAAAACACTTTAATAAGATAAATAAATCTTAAATAAAAGTTTGGGGCGGGAGTGGGGGTGGGGGCACACACCTTTAATCACTTGGGACACAGAGACAGGCGAATCTCTGAGTCTGAGGTCAGCCTGGTCTACAGAGTGAGTTCCAGGACAGTCGGGGATGCGTACAGAGAAAACCCTGTCTCAAAAATTAAAAAAAAAAAAAAAAAAACCGACAAAGATTTATTTAGGCTCATGATTTTAGAGATTTTGGTATATACTTGGCTGTCTGCAATGTGTTTACGCCTTCCTTGGGTAAGGCAGAAGCTTCCTGAGGGAGTAGCATAGCAGAAGAAACAGGAAGGGGAGGGGAGTGACCTGGGACAATGTATATCCCTCCT